AACGCTTTCTTTCTATCGCATATTCTTATCATATACTACACTACGTAGCAATTTGATATGCGAAAATAAATCTCGAAATATATTTTTTTCATATCACTACTATGGTGAAACCAACGGTGAAATCATATATGTTCTCCGCACAGGCTACTAAGCTCACCAACTAGTATCATAGCCTTCAACGCTTTCTTCCCATCAACCTCTCCAGTTTTCTGCGCAGCGGCGATTACCACCGGATAGAAATCATTATGCCCAAATTCTCCCGCCTAAAATATGCGCAAAATTAAATATTTTTTCGGGAAAATTTTCTCTTTTTTCCTAAACTTTTATCAACAATCCTTTTACGTAAAGTGGCGTTAAACTCCGTGAAAAACGCGATATTCATCGTGAGATATATTTTTCATATCACTAGGGTGAAACTCTAGTGAAAAAAAATCCGATAAAATTTTCAAAAAAACTTTTTTACACTACATTTCTCAAGAGCAAACTCCTGAGCTCAGCTAAGAAAATCAAAAAAAAAATTTCCAACTCACCTGATGCTTCCTATTACTGGCGTTATAACCAAACACAGTACCTGACCATCAGAAAATTTCGCGCGCCACAAAATCTTCCCACCGTTAGAGTCCCACTCCCTCACTGCACTAGAGTTAGCAACAATCGCCTTCTCAGCCTTCACCCTTTCAGAACTGCCAAAAACTTTCGCACCCCGCCTGAGATCAACCGTCACTACGCCACAAAATTATTTCCCAAAAATCGTAAAATTTCTAAAGAAAATTTTTTTAAGGAAAAAAATTATAATATAAATTTTTCATAAAGACAACACCCCTCGAGATGATCTAGTTATCAAAAACGATCAACAAGAAATATGAAAATCATTGAGTGAAAAAAAATATCAAAAGTTTCAAGAAAAAACACATAAAAATGGAGTTTCACGACCCTAGTGATATGAAAAACACTAATTTCACGACTACTGCATATCACCGCGTTTTTCACCCAATTTTTCGCCACTTCACGTAAAACATACGAAACTCCATTACACTCCTCCATAAGCTGACTCAGATCCTATACACATAGGCATCAGTGACAACGACCACATACGACCAGAAACTGTTCCATTTCATGGAAAAAGAAAATAACTTCGCTCCGCTCATTGAGTTTGCGTACAAACAAAGTTTCTCAATCTTCATAAGAAGAAGCTTTGCGTTGCTTTTCTGCTCAGTTCGCGGCCACACTGCCGACCTGCCTGGTAAAAGGAGAACAAATGTGACAACGAAATTAAATTTTCTATTCATACCAATTTTACCACAAAACTCTCCAACCTACATATCTCGATACTCCTGCAGTGCCTCCTGCCTCAGTATAGTCGGCGCATTCGTGTGCATCGCCAACGCCGATATACCACACATAACCTAACACACAGTCATTGACATTAGCGCGCGCCCAGATGATCGATTTTGGAAATCTGCACTTAAGAAATACTACCAAGTAATACGTATGAAACTGCTGCATATCACCGCGTTGAATATCGCGTTTTTCACCACTTCACATAAAAAGGGTAAAAAACTCCACTATGAGAATGTGAATTTTTCACGCACGATTATACTAGGCTAAAATACAAGTATTATTAATACATAGAGTATCATACCATCACATGGTCAACTCTCCCAGAGCTCACCGAATCAGTGTGGAACATCTGAGCTCTCTCATATACACGCTCATCGATATCGCGACCGATCTGGAAAAAACAACAACAACAACAACAACAACAACAACAACAACAACAACAACAACAACATCGGAGTTTCACGCGATATTCAACGCGGTGATATTTAGCAGTAGTAGTCGTGAAATATATATATTTTTTCACTAGTGTTTTTCATATCACTACTAGGGTGAAGAAACTCCATTAATATCATACCAAAACGGAGAGCGAAAAAACACACTCACGATGATATCGAGTTTCACCAGTGTCTGTGATAAGGAGAAATATGCACATGATCAACTACATGTGTTGATAAAAATAATCTCCTACTTTCCTCAGCTGAGGAAAGCAAACATATATTCCTATTCCAACACTGGGTGAAATACGATTCCAATTTCCTATGTATTTTATTTTCCAACGTTAATAAGCAACTATATCAAATCCGCGAGTTAATACTAATAGTATAGTTAATACTAATAGTATAGTTAATACTAATAGTAGAGTTAATACTAATAGTAGAGTTAATACTAATAGTATAGTTAATACTAATAGTAGAGTTAATACTAATAGTATAGTTAATACTAATAGTATAGTTAATACTAATAGTATAGTTAATACTAATAGTATAGTTAATACTAATAGTAGAGTTAATACTAATAATAATAGAGTTAATACTAATAATAATAGAGTTAATACTAATAATAATAGAGTTAATACTAAT